GTGCAATTCCCACACTGTTTCCAGTGCATCTATTTCCTTTTACTTTCCTCTTGTCCCCACATTATGTTCAGCCTTCATTTGGGTTTCAGTAATTCCTCTGGGCTACTGCCCTGGATCAAGCCCTACCAGGCCTCCTAGACCTCTCCTCACCATCAATTTTAGATCACTTATTGTTCCCTTGTCCCTGGGGTTGTTAACACCTACTTCCTTTCCCCTGTCTCCTCCTCTCCCATGTCCCCCCATGAACTATCGGTCCCATTGTCTCCAGGATTGTATCATTGTTAATGAATCTTCCTCTGATGTCCCACTCTACAGTCCAGCTTCTCAGGTTATTGAACATATAGATCAAGGATGGTGAAAGGATGTAACCCTGACACCTCCCCTCATATTACACCATACAGTGTTTTGTTTGAAAGACTGCCTCTTCGTCCGTCTATAGATATCGCATGAGCACAATTAAGTGTTCTGGAATTCCCATTCTTTGCCATGTCATTCCCAACGTGTTATGACCCACACAATCCAATGCCTTCTCATAGTCAAAGCAGCCCACACACTACACAAGTAAATATCTTTCTGGTAGTCTCTGCTTTCAGCCAAGATCCAGCAATGACACCCCTCATCCCATGTCCTCTTTGGAAGCGGCCTTGAGTTTCTGAAGATTCCTTGTTGAGTGTCCTGCTAGAACCGTTTTGAATTATGTGCAGCAAAGTTTTATTGCCTAATAATCTCCACAACCTTCTTGGCTCCCTTTCCTCGGAATGGACACAAATACAGCTCTCTTACTGTGTGCTCGCCAGGTAGCTGTCTTCCATATTTCTTGATATCGATTCATGAGTGTTTCTCACATTGCATTATTTTTGGGGAAATATTTTGATTGGTGATCTATCAGATGCTGGACTTTTGGTAATGCCTTCAGTGCAGCTTGGGCTTCTCCTGCCAGCTCTTGAGCATACGCAGCCTCTTGAAATGCTGACCAACTCTTTTTTGGTGCAATGATTCCCCGCCACCCCTCACCCCTCCCTCGCCCAATTTTCTTTTGGTGTTTCCTGCACTGTTAAGCATTTTGCCCTTAGGATCCTTCAATATTGCAACTAGAGGCTTGAATTGTTTGAGATACGCTAAATGCGCTCTTCCTCCTGGCATGCTTATCCAAGTCTTCCCA